GTAGGCGCAGAGCCAGGTGCAGAAAATCCCTTGCGTAGTCGACAGACAACACGCACACCCTGAAATCGGGAGTCGTGGAATCTTGCCAACGCCGTCACACAGGCTGCAGCCGACTTGTAGTTCACAAAAGCACAATTGCTTTTAGAGATCAAAAATACACTCTCGATATCGTTGGTCGCATCCTGCGAGAAATGATCCTTGAGATCCATCACATTGGCTCCAGGGGGGAGATTGCCGACCCAGAGGGCATGTCCTGATTGTTTCGGTTTCCGGGGTGGTCCTCGGGGCGTGGACGGGGTGGATTGGGTCGATTGTAAAGAGTTGTCTGTAATAAACCCCAAAGTGAGGTGGTTAGTGACTATTGCTTAGGAATAAGAGGTCGAACACTTACCTGAGGGAAGCGTTTGAGATACCGATTTCATAGGGTTTGAGCCGTCCACTATAGTCTTAGAGACATCATATTCCAAATCCGCAACCCGCTTGTCGACTTCCTTTCGCAAAGAACCCGGTTTCGGTGATTTATGCGCATGGGAGATTGACCCGGGCTGGAGCATTTGACCAGCAAGCGGCACTCCACAGGGAGCACCATAGGCCGACTGAGGATAGTAGCCTGAGCCATATGGGGGTGCCTGTGCTGGACCGACACTTTGCATGGACGGATTTGAGACATATGGTTGGTAATGAGTGCCATGTTGAGCCTGGCCAGGATGTTGTTGGATCGCATATGGCGGATAAGCTGGGTAAGGGACGGCATACGCCATGCCTCCGGTGTTATGTCCATATGGAGCCATAGGTATGGGCGGCATCGGATACATCATACCCTGTCCGTGAGCCGGATATTGAGACATTTGTTGTTCATATTGCTGTAAATGATGACCTGGTAGTGCGTATGCCATGCTGCCCATGTTCATGGGAGAAGGATTCGGATTGTTTCCATAGCGGGCTTCTGTGAAGCCAGAATGATGCCTGGCATTGGAAGGTCGCGTGGATTGAACAGGTGTTGCACCTGTAACGGGGAATTTTGTCAATACCTTCCTGCGCGGCTGGGGCTTTGAATGGTTTAAAGAAGATCGCACCAGGGATGACTGACCCGGTGTCTGAATTTGCCTCGCAGTTGATTCTGATACCGGGTTCCGGTCGGATGTCTTGTCTGGAGGATCATCGCCCATGGGGGCCGCTGTTGACAGAGATTGGACAAAGAAGATGGCACTCCCTACAGTAATTTAGTTATAAGATTCAAGATTCAATGTATCATTACTGTCTTACCAGTTGAGGAGCCTCAAGGCTCGGTTCTACTCCCAAATTGCACAGATGCGAGAATGGCAAGCAATTGTCCACTCAAAAGGTCAACGGTCAAAGGTCAAAAAAAAAAGAGTAAATCAAGGGCACCAATTGATCGAAAATGAAGACACAGTATTCCTGAATATAGCACTGAAGCCCTGTTCAACAAGTTAGTAAGGCCAGAGAGTTACAAAGAAGTGGAATGAAGGTGGGAAGAAATTCAAAGGGGGGGGAGGGAGTCCGAGTTGTAATCGCACTAAGGGCCCTGGGAGTGCTCCCCAGCCCATGGGGAATAATAAAAAAAAAGCCAGGTGGGACAATGAAGATATAAACAAGGAATTATAGATGGAAGCGGTGGGTATCGGGATTGCACCGGGAAGGGGGATTTAAGGGCAAAACACTAATGTTCCAGAGCTATGGAGCCTGAAGATCCGGAGCTTGATGACTTACAATCTCCTAGGGCTATATCCCATATGCCTCATATATCGATATAACCTTGCACGTGAGACTGTGTGACTGACACAGGTCTGGACAAGAGGGGCAGAGCCCTTGGGACATAAAACAAAGCCGAGAGGTGTGGCTGAAGAAACACGCACACACTGACCCAATTTGGGATAGAAGGAAAATATCTCCCTTGGGGAGAGCTGCGGGTGTTTCAAAACCCAGATATAGGAGCTGTCAGACTAAGGGAAAAAAGGGGAGCCGAGGTGCCTGAAATAAGGTGAGAGAAGAGTGGCGGATTAATGGCAATGTGTCTATGGAGAGGGGGGATGAAGCCAATCAACGCTCTTGGCAAGCTGTGGCTGATGGACTTATGTCAATGGCTTAGGGTCTGGCAAAAGAAAGAAGAAAATACTAAGAATAGAAATTCGAACTTGTATACAAAAAAAAAACACTCACGGGCTGAGCCGATGATCAAGAGAGCTTGGGTTCCGAACTCTATCATGGGTCAGTGCTTGAAGGCTGGAGACTGTCAACCATACCATAATAGTCCTATAAGGCTCTGCTGATCTGGGCTCAATGAGCGCCGTACCGCTCAGGATCTACATTGTAGACTTGGCGAACGGAGCCTGAGGATCGAAATTTGCCGGGGCCCGAGTCCCAGTACCGTGTCATTAATCTGCCATAATGCCCACCGTGGCAAACGCAGATTGCGGAATCTTCTACCGGGATCTGGACGGGGCCAGAAAGTGTCTTGGAGAGAACATGGTCGAATGCGTGAGCCTCGAATCTGGGCCAATGAGTGCCATGACTATGGCAGCAATGCATAACGTTAACAGACTTGCCACTGCTAAGGGTAGAACCTTGGGGAAGTGAGAAAATTAATGGAAAGCAAAAAAATAGAAAATAATTTAGCTGATTACTAGGCCTGGAATGATCCCCGTGCAGACAAAAATTCCCGTCAACTCCGGGAGAAAATATCGTTGGATACGACGGGCGGCGCCTCGAAGACCGCAAGGGGAAGCCATGGGCCGACAAAGTGTTATGTTCTGGTACACTCCCACTAGGCTCGATCATGATTCCGCCAATAATCAGCGTTGGATGTATCGGCTCCAATCACGCTTTCACGAGCATCCTGTTTGGGAGTTGACATGCTTCGGGTTTGACCTGCGTTCGCCACAGAGTGGCAGGATCCAAGTGTTTTCGGGAGTATTTGATTGTGGAGTACACGGAGTACCTCATACCAGTGAGTCTGGTCCAGTACGACAATTGAAGAAAGTACTTACAAAAGAGTTGTCAAGAGCGAAGTTGAAGTTGACTCCACTTGTAGACCGGCATCTCGGCCCAGCCAATCAGAGAGCCGCATTTACAACTACATCCAATTCTCCTCTATAAGACCCCTTCAATCAGTGTACATTATCCTTGGGTTTCCTTTGCGTGTATATGTTTGTAATCACATGCACTAGAGCCCTGTAAATCATGTCCTACAATGTACAGCATACCAACTAGGTCTATACTCATTCTAGACCAATAGGCGTCGCCCAAAACAGCCCGTCAAGACACTCACTGTGCATTGTGGAGATATGTCTCTCAAGTCCAAGGTACCTTACATGTGCCGATCAACCCGTAGAGACACGGGCCGTTACCAGTGGCATGGGAATCTTACATGGGTGTATATACAGTCGTGATTCCGGATTCGTTGGTCACGGAACTCCGGAGTCTTTCTCCGGGCCCTTTTGTCTAAACATAACATATAAAGCGACTTAAAGTCTGGGACTCGAATTGGATGGGTTTATGATTGACGCCGCAGTGGAGGGCCACTTGCGTGATAAACGCACTCCATGTACAATAGGGCTCTTCTAGCATCTTCTAAACATGCAAGGGATCGTAAGTGGCGTAGCTTTTGGGAGACACCTGAGGCATGTATGACGTCACCTGCTGATATCCTACACCCTAACCTCACCTGTTGATCTACATATGCATCTTCAGTATGACACCATAGCATCTGACACACTTTCTCCAGGTACGAAGACCGAACTATCTCCAGTCAGAAATCTGAGCTCAGATGGGACCATCCTGATACCTGAATACAGCACTCTGTATACTGTACACATCTGATTGCTACGGTGTCATTGTTACCGCCTATCATCCTGTCCTAGTGACCGACCAATCAACACAGCCCCATTTCTGGATGGGGAATCAGAAACGAGCAATGTCTTTCCAGTATCAAAACAGTCAATCCTAGACCCAATCTGGCAGATCGCTGTTACTCCCTCCACAGCCACCACAATGGAAACCCTACCTAGCCAATTGACGGAGTAGAACATATGGATCTACCTTGTCAGGGACCACATTCCATATCTCCATAGGAAATTGCAGGCCGTGGCCCCTGTCCACCGCTGGACGCCACGCCCCACGGCTTTACAGGTTTGGACCATGATTATCGTCAGCTGCTGGGTCTTAGGGGCCCGCGATCTTGCCACTATTAGGCAGCTTTGTTTCTACAGAGCACTTACGTGTCTTCGAGTAGATGCCAGCTCATGGACGTTGCGGGGATGGTGTGTGACTTGGATACTGAGCCGCTAACATCAACTGCGCTACCAAAGCTCTTACAGCGGCCTTAGGCAATGATATTTCCTCATAGTTATAATTGATTCAGGTGAGACTCGGGGTGAGACTCGGTACAGACCTAGGCAGTATAGAGCTTTTGACTCAGTATATACATATATACAAGACATCGGGGAGCTGTGCTTCGCAAGACTCTTCGACCTTCGCCCCTAGAAACAATGATAGGTATATAGTTGGCTACCTATAAGCATCACTCTTTACACCCTGCTCAAGCATGGCTAAAGAATATTGGCCTAAAAAAAGCACCGAAAGTCGACCGTTTTGATGGGGTAAGATTCTCTCAGGAAACTTTACATGGGACTACTAGTAACGAAGGACTATCACGGGTATTGGAAAGAATGGCAATGGCTGAACACTTTAAAACCATCCCATCTTTAGATTCCGTTCTAGGACAAGGAAACTATCCCCGTAAGACGGTATTCCAAGCCAATATCAAGAATTGACAGAAGAGAAAGATCCTGCACCTGAACCCAAAAGCAAAAGACACAAACCAAGCCGAGGATACAACACCACAGGCCAGACAAACAGGGGGGAAATGGTCATCAGACGGGAATTTTCATGCGAAGCTCATTAAAACCTGATATAATTACGATTAGGCGCGCAGCCGATGTGCTAAGCGGATATAGACAGTGAAATGCGCGGAGGGGTGCTCATTGTCGATCGATGCCAAGCGAAGCCACCTTCCCAGCGAAGCGGGCTCCGGCGCTGCCTCGTTTGGACAGCTTCTCTCGGTCTTTTTCCTTGCTTTCTGCGAGAGTGGGGGTATGTGAGGTAGAGGAAACACTGTCCTTGCCGCGGATTGTGGGGAGAGAGCCTAAGGTGTCGGCAGCTGTGGCCCGGCCGGGCGGCGGGATAGGGGTGCTGAATGCAGATGACCGTGCAGTCCGTTGGCTGAGGTACAACTGGGCTGCGGGGGAGAGCGGGATGGAGGGGGGTTGGGGCGGGATCTCTGCACCGTTTTGGACTAGAAGCTCGGCGATCGGGAAAGGGATCGCCTTTGCGCTAGACCTAGCGGAGAGAGTCACCGGTGTGGAGCCCGGAGATGCAGGCTCGGCTGCTGCGAGAGCGAGGAAGGTTGCATGGGTGTTGCGGGAGCGGTCGGTGATATTGACATTAGCGCGAAGGGCAAGGCCGTAGAGCACACCTTGGATGTCGTTTTTCTTGATCGAAGCAAGAAGGTGCTCGTCAGGCGTTGCAAAGCGAGAGCGCGGTGAGGGAAGACCCTCAACATAGGATCGGTCAACATATTTAGCGGTTATGAACTTGAGACGTTGCTCGCGTGTAGAGGTGGCGTTTGGCTTGAGTGTTTGGTCCAAAGTCGCCTCCCAGATCATGTTGCTAACGCGGTTGCCAATCTGCAAGAGAATCTCGACGATATCGTTCGAAAACGAATGCACATCCAATGTGAGCGAGCGGATCTTGGATATATGCGTCCCCAAAGACCGATGAATCCCGCTGCATTCAATGCAGAGTACAATACCCAGGTTTATCGACACCCACTCTACCTTGGAAGATGATCCGCAGTCAGCGCACCAGTTGTTACCTTGGTCTGCATCTCGTACGACCTGCAGAAGTTTTGCGGGGTTCTCTTCAAAACTGTTGCTGTCGTGGCGGACGTAGCTCGGCCGCGCCCCGACTGTGGTGCGTCGGTTGACGCCGGCATTGCTTGAACTGGACGAATAAGAGTGGTGACCAGAAACAGACGAACTCTTCCCAGTGAGAACGGACCCAATGTCCCGACTGGTGGATGAATCCTTGGAAGAAGGGGGTGGGGGCGGAGTTCCTTGGCCTTCTACGGCGCTCTGGAGCGCATTGTTGATAGACCTGATCCAATTCGACATGTCATCTTCGGACGTGGCTTGGTAGATACGCTTGAATTGAGGCGTGATCACTTCAAAACAGAATCGCCGTTCTGCATTGCGAGCCTCGCGGACAGACGCCATACGCAGATCGATGGGCTCCATGTGGAGGTCCAGCTTCTGTTTCCAGTTGCTGTATTCGGACAATCTCCCTTGGTCCAACACGATCCAAAACCTATTCGAATGTTAGAAGAAGAAGGGGGCCATTTTGAGTGGGTACTTACTTGTGCCATGCCTGTTTATTAATCCCCTTCGGATCAATGTGCGATCCTGGACGAGATAATGCCCACAGGAGGCCTTCTTTTCGCTGCTGGCCCCCGCTTCGATCAGACGAGAAACTATTCTGTTCCTCGAGATCACGGATACCCTTGAAGCGGTTCTGGCCTGTGTTTCCAGCTGACGCTGGGTTTGATGCAGGGGCACATACCCCAGATGACGACACAACTGATCCTGCATTTGCCTGGGAAGAGACTGACGAAGTGTTGCTTATGACTCCTCGAAGCTGCGAGCCTGTGCTATCCGCCCGGCCTAACTCAACCTCAGTAGAGGTACCACTGTTGACCGTTCCTGCCGAAACAGAAGGCAAATTCGCAGTCCCGGTCACTGTGGCATCGGGTTCGAGGTATGGATTACTATTCTTTTCCAGATACCGGCGCTTCTCTTCACGCTCAGTCCGCTGGAACTGAAACTCTTTGTCTGCCTGGTTCACCTCGTGGATGAGAGCGTCCAGTTGAGGAGTCATGCCCTCGACCTTTTGTGCCGCTGCCAAGAAGTTCTTGGCTTGGAAATCCGCGTACTTGGTGAGGTGCGAGAGGACTTCTTGCTCTTTGCGACCCCCGTGGAGGTCTTGCATAAACGATGAGTAGTCAAAACGCCTCAGTTCGAAATTGCGCCGTTTGGCTTGATATTTCGAGTCACTTTCGGCCCGTTTTTTCTCTTTCAGTGAATCCTGTCGCTGGCCCAGATACCGACTGACATAGGCATAATAGTCACGGCTCTCCTCATCCCATTCCTTCTTTTTGGCCTCTGCTTGCTTGATATCATTATGATAAAGCTTGATCAAGGGTTCAATGACGAGCTTTTGCAGTTGGATTGTGTTTAGCTGCTCGTAATTCAAAATCTGCCGAGCGATCTTTTCGAAATAATGATCTAGAGCGGGCTGGATGGCATTCGCATTTGAGGTGGATGCATCATTCAACGAGCCCAGGAATGCTTCCATGGCCTCGTTGCAGCTAGTTTGCGCCTGTTGGGCGGCCTCGGCCTTTTTCAACACCTTCTTGATTTTTGTGCGCATGTTTCCTGTCTTCAATTCCAGTGCCTTCATGGTCGCGCGGAATAGCGGGCCATCTTCTACCCCACTCATATCATCTCCAGCCCGAGAATGCGGTAGGTCCACCTTGGCTGGGGGTGGGGGTGGGGGAGCGGTCGGTGGAGGAGGCGGGAGAGCATTCTCTGTTTCAGGCGGAGTAGTCGAGGGAAGATAGGGGTTGGAGGATTCAGTGTCACTATTCTGAGATAGGACAGACTGAGTAGACGGGATACGGGAACGCGGAGGCACGGGTGGCTCTAGGTTTGGCGAAGATATCTGTGGACTCGGCAGGAGGCGAACAGAGTTGTGCACCCAGAACGAAAAGTGCGCCAGGGTATTCAGGCGGTTTGTCCTTTGGTCGTAATCCAAGAAGCTGCAGCTATTGCGCCAGCCCCCGCCTTTATCTTCCGTCACCTTTGGTGGTTTCCATCTCCAGCACCAGTCGAACGACACGGACGGAGTGCCGCCGGTACTATAATCTCCGATCAACTGAACATTTGAGTTATTCTGAAGGTTAGGGTTTGCATGGAACTCTCTTGTGATTAGGTTGTCCAGTTCCTTCGAGTTGGATGCGTGAGCAAATGTAAGCCCAGTGAGACTTGTGTCCGCCACCTCTGGTAGAGTAGTTGAGACGCCATTGACGGAGTTGGGAGCATTGCCGGTCTGGGTCTGACGGATGATGAAGGTGAAATTGAAGATCAGCTCTTCGTCATTTGACAGGCGTAGCATGAACGTTGGTACTGAAACGGAGGATGAAGTGTCGGGATCCTAGAGTGTTTCGAGGGGCTTTGGTCAGCTAGATGCAACAGAGGTTCAGGCGGTTGCGGTACAATCATACCTGGATATATTCGATCGGAGTATCGTCCCCAGCATCGCGCTTAGCTACGAACCTCGCCGCAGGGAACGCGTTGGGAGATAGAGTCAAAAGACGACGTCGGGAGTTGCTTATCGTGACCGATGCGATCGAAACTAAGAGATTTTATCAGTAGATCGAACCGTGACAAAGACTTGAGCGACCGTACAGCGATTCTGATCCTTGAAGAACAAATTCCCCACATCGTCGAGACGGCTGGCGACATTCCCCATGATGGCGCAGGCAAAGGGATCAAGTCACGGCGCGAGAAAGGGACCGAAGCAGCGGACCAATCGATGGCCATCGACGGTCTGCGAACCTGCAGTCGGATGGCCTTTGAAATGAAGCAGCGTGCGAAAGAGCCGAATAATTCGTCATTCGTCAAGGAAAGGTTGTCTAAGGGAGAGAGAGGAGAGCTCGAAGATCTGAAGGAGGCGGGGCGATCGAGATCGGAGAAATGCGCAAATAGCAGGCAACCGCCCCAACAGTGATGTGTAGGTTGAAAGCTTCTTTTATTTTGTGGGTTTCTTTGTTTTGTATTTTGTTTTGGTTTGTTCTCTTCTTACGATTTTTCGTTCTGACTCTATTGCAGGATTGGGGGGAAATGAGAAGGAAATGAGAACTCCGCAAAGCGGCCTTGGTATTAATGGGAGTATACAGAATTCAGTCTCCTCGTGGTATCAACTGTCGTGAATGTCATGAGACTCGGTACCAGACCGAGAACAAAGAAAGGCAAAGAATAGAAACATCACTTCCCGAGACTTCAAGTTACGAGCTGACAGGGGGCCTCGTGATTGGGGTTGGTGGTAATCGCTCGAGTGGCTTCGGGTCGCTGACTCGCTTCAATCTCACTAGTTGACGCCGCGCGCTCTCGACCAGAGAAGTACCGGTGTTTGGGGCGATCTGCGTGTCCATCCGCTTCTACCCATTTCATCACCTGTCCTCGCAGGTCGCGCATCTCGTGTACTCGTCGGGACAGATCTCCACGTTGTTTACCTTGCCCACTGCGTTCGTTGAGCTCATCTTCATCCGAGCTGGAGATGGACAGCGATGATGCACTGCTTTGTTGCAGGAAAGTAATGACATGGCCCTCATGCTGTTTGAATTCGCGCTGCTCTTCCTTCATCTTGCCCATACGCTCCGCATCCGCTTGGCAATCCAGGGTCGAAACGTGGAGACCAGGGAAGTTGGACGACATGAACTCCTGCAAGAGTGGCAGCTTTTCTGGGTTGGGGCGGTAGGTACCACTGTCGTTGTCAATAAAAAGTTCATAGTCGGCTGGATCAGTCGAGTTCTCCACAGTCTCCTCGTTCTGGTCAGACTCTTGGCCTTCCTCCGCGGGAATCTCGTTTTCAACCTCGGTAATGGTTTCAGCACGTTCAGTGCGCGATCCAGCAGGGCGATGGCGACGGCGATGCTTGCGTCGGCGAACGAAGAATTCACCCGAGTAAGCAATGTAGATCGACACATCACTATGCATAGTGTGCTTGCTCAGCATGTCAATACCAAACTCTTTGCCAGTCTCCGTAAATCGGAACTGTCCGTCCAAGGTCAGAACGTAGGTGAAGATTCGTCCGCCTTGGCCGTAGTGCGCAAACTCCAAGAACTTTTGCGCAAACTCGCGACATGGTCGCACAAATGACCCATGCAGGGTCGTGCGATCAAAGTTGTAGATGCGCTGGTGCTGGTGATGGAGTGCCTTGTGTAAGATGCGTCCTCGCAGACTTTGCGCTTGGAACATACCCGCTACGAACGGCTTGAATTCCACATAGCGGTGGTAGAGTTCTGATGGCACAGGGCCGGTAAGCTGCATTTGAATGGCTTGGAAACTGTTTGTTGTCAGCGTGGAACAGTATAGGGGGAGGTGGAATAACCAACTTGTAGCGACTGACTGCCTTCCCACTGCCGTCTTTGCATTGAACTTGATCTTTGATACCAGCCAGCCGTCCGATCAACGGAGAAAAGTGCTTGAACCAGTGGTTGGGGCCAATTGTGTACAGTTGACACCCCTCGGTACCGGGGGTCCTGCCCAGGCATTCGATACTGACCACTAAGAAGGACTCCTTGTGGTGTCCGGTAGCGAAAGCAGAGACATTAGTGAAAACGTAAACGCGCTTGCTTCCAAAGCGCTTCTTGACCTTGAATGATCTCCCTTTGAAACCTGACCAGTCCTCCGAGAGTTCAGGCACCTCGATGAATGCGAGACCTAGCTTATCATCATGATCCGCGGGGTCCTCGTCCATGACATAGGCCTTCAGAAGGAAACCTGATGCTGGCACGTTTGCGACAATCCACTCGCATTCCCACACGGGGTTCATGTCCTTGCGAATGGTTGGGGTTCGAAATCTGACCGGGGGATCCTGTTTATGGCGGCGCGGTAGGTTGACGACCATTTGCGCAGAGACATACGGGTCAGAGGAGAAACTGCCAAAGTCCGCAACAGGCAGGTCGTTTGCGCGATGAAAAGTGATTTTAAGGGTATAGCCTGGCGGAGCATGCGGAAACGGAGTGGCATCGAAGCCTCCAGCGGGCTTCCTTTCATCCTTCATAGTGATCCGGCGTTGTATCCTGTCAGCCTTCTCGACGAACTTGGGGCCATATTTGTCAATTGGATGGATAGGCAACGACCGGGGTTGAGCATCCATGAAGAAAAGTAAGAGGTGGTCATGTACGACTCCGTGATGTAATAAGATAAAAATGAACGGACAAGACGACAGAAGAAAATTAGGATCAGGGGAAAAGGGAAGTTCAAGTGGGTTGAGCCAAGCTTTCAGCCTTACAAATGAAGTACCCGCGTGGTCCAGGCAGCAGAGACGGAGATGCCAAGCATGACCTCATGGGGTACGTCCACGGTTCATTGGCTTGTGTGCCTGGTTTTCTTCTATCAGCCTTCTAGATCTACATTCTTCTAATTTCATTTCGTATAGTACTTCACTGTGGAGAAAAGAGAGAGCAGTGAGTAGTCATATAGAACTAATTGTACATATTCGTTCATGAAGGTCGTATAAGGTAATATCACCCTCGCACATCGCTAATGAGACTGACGAATCTGGCGTATGGGAACTTAGGTTCCACGGAAAAGGAACTGCATGTCTTCCGGGGTGAGTTTTTCCAGTGCTTGGGCCTGATCCTTGTTCAAGGTACCCCGGATGAGGTTGGCTTTCTTCTCTTGGAGCTGAATGATTCGAGACTCGACCGAGTCCTCAATGCAGAGCCGAGTCACAACGCAGGGTCGCTGCTGGCCAATTCGATGACTGCGATCGGCACTTTGCCATTCCGCGGCGGGGTTCCACCACGGGTCGATGATAAAAACTCTCGAGGCCTCTGTCAGGTTGAGAGCCACACCGCCAGCCTTGAGAGAAACCAAGAAAACTTCAACCTCCGGTTTGGTCATGAAGTGCTCAATGGACTTCTGCCGTTGCGCCGGGGTCATTGATCCATCCAGCATAACAGTGTTGAATCCAGCATGACGCAGACGCCACTCGACGAGCTGCAGCATAGAAGTGAACTGAGAAAAAATGATCGACTTGGGAGTGTGGCTCTTGCTTCTCTCTTGGTAGAGTTCATACAGGAGCGTCTCGATTTTGGTCGACGAGGTCCAATTTTCCATGGAAATGCGGTTGATGATGGAATTCTTTTTGGCAGACTCCTCCGAGTGCGCAAGCGTTGGTTGTTCCAAATCAATTGAAAGGGTTATGTGGCAGCGTGGGCAGTCAACGTATTTTTGCTCGTCCTGGAAAGACAGTATATAGTCTTTGGCACATTGGCGGCAGAAGTCATGGCGGCATTGGGATCGAATTGCATCTTCGGCTGGTTCGTCACAAACACAACACACTGCAACGTTGAATCCTGGCTGCGTGTTTTTCTTCAAGATAAGATCCGGATGGTTTGCGACTTGGCGCATCTGCATGATCAAGCCGAAGATGTTGGCATAGTTGTTCAGCATGACACCACGGCTGACATATGTATCAAACTCCCGGGTGGAATTGGTCATGATGCTGCGTGAAAAATCGTGTTCAATCTCGCCAAAGAATTCATTGTGCAACGTAATCCTGCGAAGACAGGAATGTCAGCCGAGGAATTCTAATGTGGTGCTGAAGCGTGACTCACCGTTTAGGAGGAAGTTCCATCGAGGACGTATGGTCTTGCTTCATTCGTCGTAGCATGATGTGGTCTGTGATGAGACGAAGCTTTTGTAGTCCGGCTTTTCGTTCTACCTGTGTTCGTCCCTCGGTAACTAGAACAGTTAGACTTGTAAGAATGCCATTATTGAGGGATGTCTTACTTGGACCGAGGATTTCCTTGTTGAAGATTGAAATATGGTTGAAGCCCCTGTAAAAGTCAGAATAAAGAATCGAGAACGAATTTGAGGAGCCATACGTGTGAGAGCATTTTGTACAGCGACCCGATTTATCGGCAGTCCACTGTAGCTGCTCGCAATCACATTGCTTGCAAAAGTAACAGGCAAATGGCCGGACTTGCAGGAAGCGTAAGAGAGAAAAGAACTCCCCGATCCGATTCTGCACAGGTGTGCCGGAAAGACACCACTTGTAGTTAGCTTGCAAGGCAAAGCATGCCTTAGCAACACCTGTAGTGCGTTGCTAATTAGGTCAGCGTGATATGAGAACGACTATCTTGGGACAACGTACTTTAATACTGTGTGCCTCGTCAAGGATGAGGCGGTGGTAGTGAATAGAATGGATAACGCCTGATTAATAAAGTTAGCATGTACTCAGATGTGACATGTTGCGACACCTACTATCTGCTTTGACCATTGTCTCACCGCGAGTGAAGCCCTTCTCCTGCTTTCGGTGGATAGATTCCAAACTTGAGTCTGGTTGAAATGGTTAGCTCAAGTTCCATCATGATTCAAACGCACGAAAACACGAACAGGATATCATGATAACATTGTATTTTCGAAGGTCATTTGACGTCATTTTCTTGACCTTTGGGTCCGAATTATGGTAAACTAGGACTTTCAATTTGCCATCCGTGTATTCCTATTGGATTTATTAGTTCAAGTCCACGAGTGATTCTAGAACAGCAAGACAAACCTGAATCTCAGATACCCACTGCATCAAAGCAACTGGAGGTACAAGGACTAGTGTAGGGTCGCGCTGGGGAAAATCAGACATGATGAGTGATACGGCTTGGATGGTCTTTCCCATGCCCATCTCATCACCGAGCAAGCCGCCGCGATATTCGGTCTGCTCCTGTTGCATCATCCAGTTCAAACCCTGGAGTTGGAATGGCTTCAACTTTCGAGTAATGGAGGCTGGCTGCTTAGCTTCCTCTGGCGCGATGATAGGCCGGGATTTTAGATCATCCCACATGGTGATTATTGTTGGATGTTTCTTCTCGAGTTTCTTCCGGTCGGCCGCCACACGACGGGCCTTTCGCTGCTCCTCCCAAGTTGGGGAAAGATCCTCGTCGGAATCAACTAATTGGTCGCCGTCAAGGTCAGCTTCTTCATCGGAATGATCCTGGTCAGCAAAGAAGGGATCGCTGAGATCACGTTCTGTAGCACCATTGACCACTTCCTCGAAAGGATTCTCAGGAGCATAATTAGGGTCGGCGAGATTGTACTCCGATGGACCTGTATGGATTCCCCGGAGTAAAACCGGTGGTTCGGGACTTAATGACACAGTCCTATCACCCAGTGTCGACTCGTCGTCCTCCGCCACGCAGTCTTCATCAGAGGATAGTTGACCTTGGCCGATAGGAGCCCAGTAATATTTCTGTCTCTTTTGGGGTTGACCATATTCCTCCATCTGGAGTTTATGTGCCAGAGCAGCATCAGAGGCCTCGCGGCCATCATCTTCATCCCGGGTAGCTGTAGATCGCTTGGTCCCTCTTTTAAAAAGCCCCAAGGACAATTTGCTTGACCGGAGTTGGTTTGCACGATCAGAAGCATTGATACGCGCTGGAAGCTTGGCGCCGGTGGCTTCGACGCTAGTAGCTGGTGTATTGCATCCTGTGGACGATTTCTCAGATGAGCTTCGGGAATTCGATTCACTGGGTAAATCATTGTTCGACGCTGGCACCACCACTGCAATATTGCCTGGGACAGACGTTTCTGGGGCCATCGAATCTGAACGATCGACGTAATCTGTCTCGTCCGCTTCGGAATCTTGGATAACGCGCTGAGATTGAGATCGAGGAAGGGATGATCCACCCACTCGCAGGGTCTGTGATCGACGGAGGGGCGATGAATTCCTCAATGACGTTTCGCTGAAATGTGAATCATCCTCGGAATCGGGGATGGTAGTTCTGGGCCGCAGACTGCGTCTCATGATCGTGGGACAAAAATGAAGCGTGGAGAAACGACGAAATGAGGGTTCAATGCCGGTCGTGAGCGAGATACTGAGCGAGAGGAATTTGTTAGCCTGCACCCATATACACAATGTAAAGTAATGATGTACTTGGCAAAGTAGCAGGACCGGGAGTCCAGGAGTCTGGAGGTGAGTATGAAAGAATAGTTGCAATCCAAAGGAGCAGAAAAAGAGCAGATTCAATGGAGAGTGTGAGGGAAGAGAGAGGAAGGGAAAGAGGATGAACGTAAAAGGGAGAAGTGATCGATCGATCCAGCGCCGGTGCCTGAACCAGAATTTTCTTCGCGGGCGAATCCGATCCAACTTCCCAAGGTTTCCAAGGTTTGAGATTCAGAGATTTAGACATTCACAAATTCACAGATTCAAAGACTTCACCTTCAACCTTTCACCTTCAACCTTTCACCTTTCACCTTTCACCTTTCACCTCGACTCTTCAACTCCGCACTCTTATCTGATAAGAGCGCGTTAAGTGAAACGCGAAATCGCCACGAGTCCAGTGACTTCCGAATAATCAAGATGTATTCCCTCCCCCCTTTTCTATCGCTTCGTATTATTATCTAACATTATTCAGGGCCCAAAGACGACAGGCACGGAATATTCGGGGCCCGTATGCTTCCCTCTCCACATATATCCCCAGAGACTGACAACTGCAGGCACTCCGCTTTGACAGACTTCCTTGCTGTATGTTGGACTCCGGTTATTGTCGAGCGCTACTGACAAGTTCCAGTCAAACAACATTTCGGCGGCGCAAATTCGAGACGATTATGACCGCCGAGCCACAGGGGCTACACAGCAGTCTCCTGAAGTTGAAGCCGCTCATTCGCCCAGTGCAGCTGAAAGTAATGGCTCTCCAGAAGCCAATTCCCCAGAAGATGTGACCAAGAAGCGCAAGCGACAACAGGCCATTGCTAGAATCAAAAATACCAAGGCTTTTGCACGCCGCAAGGCGCAACGCAAGGGAGATGATGATGACGATGATTTTCTTGCCGGGCAGATGGTCGATGAGAAGCAACAACCCAAGCCAGGCCAGCTAGAAAACTGTGAAACTTGCGAGAAGCGCTTCACGGTCACTGCATATAGCAAGACCGGTCCTAATGGAGGTCTGCTATGTGCTGATTGCTCTAAAAAGCAAAAGGGGGATGAGAAAAAGGCCCCTGCTAAGAAGCGTGGCCCTGGCATCGGTCGCCGTCAAAACCAAGCCAACTTGCTCGACGGTTTGACTCTTCATGGGACTCAGAGTCTGTTGGAAACGTGCATCAAGGTATGTTCCAAGACATGGAAGAGCTATCACAATGCTAACCTGGTGCCAGAAAGTCGCTGATCATATTCACGATGTTGATGAATTTGGCGACCTGCCTCCATCGTTGCTGCTTCGTCTGGGTCAGATCTTGTCCAGAAGACGGTCTGTGACTTCTCGGACTTTGAACCTGTTCTTGCGCCCTCGTTACAAGTCCATTGACCTCTTTGACTGTGCTAGTAGGTTCAAACCCCCGCGAGACAGCCAGAATCAATGCTTACATGTGTCCAGAACTTGGCACGGATGATTACCACAAGATTCTTGCCTCTATGCCTCATCTCACAAGAGTCAATCTACGTTTCACCACTCCAATGAAGGACCCCATTTTCGATTATATGATCGAGCGTGATATGCAAATCAAAGACCTTCACCTAGATGGGCCAAATCTTGTGACCGATGACTGCTGGCGTCGGGTTTTCATAAAGCTCGGCCACAGGCTACAGAGTCTGAAACTCTGGAATTTGGATTCTGCCTTTGATGATGAGACTGCTATGGTCATGTGCAACAATTGTCCTAACCTTCAGCGTCTGAAATTGAAATTCCTTGCCAAAATCGGCGACAACACGCTAAAGGCAATCTCCACTCTCGAGCATCTTCAGCATTTGTCGTTACATCCAATGCCAGAGACTAAGGCAGAAACTGAATCTCTTGTCCAAATCATTGCCGCAGTTGGGCCTCAGCTCAATACTTTGTCTCTTGAGGAGTTTGAGCTTGTCGATGACCGTCTCCTACAGCACATCCACGAGCATTGCCATGCTTTGTCCAAGCTTCGGCTTACCCAGAACGCAACCTTCACCGACCAAGGATTGACCAACCTTTTTCAAGGGTGGTCCAACCAGGCCCTTATCTATGCGGACCTTCACTCTCTCCGAGATGTAGACATGTCAAATCCTACCGGTCCTCCGGAGCCTGTTGGGCTTGCATCAAACGGGTTTATTGCCCTGATGGAGCACTCAGGCTCAAAACTTCAACACTTGAACATTGCATCCTGCCGTCACGTATCCTACAAGGCATTCGAGGAGGTGTTTGCAGAGGACAAACAGTACCCTGACCTCAAGTACCTCGATATCTCCTTCAGCACCGCGGTGGACGACTATCTTGCTCAGTGCATCTTCCGATGTTGTCCATCGCTCCAGAGATTGGTCGTTTTTGCTTGCTTCAAAATCCGTGATATCCATATCCCTAGAGGTCTTGCCGTCATTGGCACTGTGGGTGCAACCCTCAAAGTCGATGGAATCACTCAGTCTGAAACCATTTAATTGGTATCAGAGTCTGAAGAGAAAGGGTAGACTATCATCAATCGTTCATTTCAAGAGATAATTGTGGGCTATGACATAGCATACGTATTACAAATCGAGAAGGCTGCCGTCTTAGCAAATTGAGATGTATACACCAAATTCTTCTATAGTAAATCGGATGGATAAAAGTAAAAGGGTTATGAGCAACATCCCACTTCCCCCACCCAAAGGTGACAGAGACCAACTACATGTACTTGTAGATGGAAGGACTTTAGAATCATTCATTCAAACTGATATATCTTGAATCCAAACGCCATAGACTGCTTAATGAATACACAAAAATGAAAAACGAAGTATATCGTTGAGGCCATCCATCTGGCATATTAGAATGCCATCCTCTTTCCAATCTCACTTTGCCAGCCCCGTGTCCTCTCGAACCCGTTAGACGCAGTCTGGTAGTCGAGCATGGCCTGGTAGACTTCCTCCTGGGTGTTGAGCACGAACGGCCCATACTGAACGACCTTCTGGTCTAGCGGCTGGCCAGCCACAAGGAAGATGCGAGATTCCGAGTCCGCATTGTCTGGGACTGAGAGCTCGACAAAGTCACCAGTCTGGTCGAATTGGACAGTGTGAAATTCCTTCACAACGCGAGTTGAGTCGCTTGAGCCAAAGATAGTCTCGCCGGCCAAGGTGTAGGCGAACGCATTCCAGCCCTGTGGCAGAGGCTGCGAAATTTTGCCACCGGGCTTGATAGAGATATCCAAGATCCAGACGGGGGTGTAGGCCAAATCGCGCACAGAGTCAACGCCGTGTGACTGACCAGAGATGACCTTGACTGTGACCCGGTCATCGTCAGGCTTGGCGATGGGGATCTCACTGGCTCGTAGATCACGGTAGCGGGGCTCGCACATCTTCAGCTTCTGGGGCAGGTCAACCCACAACTGCATACCGACGTTGGGACTGCCATCCTCATTCTCGTGGGGCATCTCGGCATGCATGATGCCGCGACCAGCAGTCATGAATTGTAGGTCACCGGGTCCAATAGTACCCTGGTTGCCAGCAAAGTCTTCATGGTCCACGCCACCGGACAACAGGTAGGTGATGGTTTCCTGGCCACGGTGGGGGTGGTCTGGGAAACCAGCACCCTTGCCGATAGTGAAGTGGTCGAGCATGAGGAACGGACTGAAATTGCGGAGCTTGGCAGTACCAATAGAGCGGCGCACACGAGCTCCTGCACCCTCTGCTTGCTCAATGGCAAGGAAAACTTGGCGAATTGCGCGAGGAACAGCCATGTCTGTGACGGGAAGGACTATGGGAGCGGGTTGTTCCAGGTTGAGAGCGGTTATCTGAGGAACAATAGCTTCTGTCTTTGCAAGAAGCTGTAGGATAGGAAATTTTCTGTCGATCAATGTGACAAGAGAGTCTTTGATAGATGGGTTATAAGCAAAGAAGACTGCTGTGATGCAAATTAGAAGAGGCAGAAGGAGTTTCATGGATGGGAGGATCTTTATACTTCAATCCAGGAAACTGAAAAGAGTAGAATGTTAAGGAAAGGATTTCAGCGTTAGTCAAATTCTCATAAATACTTCAAGCCCTGAAGGTTGGCATGTTCAATTGCTTTGCAAGACATCAGTCAGCGATCTCGGGCCAATGACTCGCGGATTTATTACAAAATGCCCCGTCAGCAACCTCTAATCAGGGGCTAGCCATATGTGGTTAGAGGATTAGGTCATCCTTTCAATCATTCTGCTCGGGCACGTGCATCACGTGCATGTATGTCTAAGGATATGAGACGAAATAGAGATATTGTATATTTATATAGTGTGTTAGTATGCGGAGTAGGTGTATATATCTCAGTGTATTATAGAGACGATTCTGATATCCATTTCACATGTATTTATAGCCTGAATAGAAGCAACAGTGCAACTGTTCGCATTCTAAGTACCATAAGGCCAGTCCATGTGACATGTGACTACATCTAATATACTATGAATATGGTACTTGAATTACAAGTGTGCGAATAGAGCCAGTGTGGCCACTCAGCAAGTACACATCTTTTTTTGCGGTATGGCCAAAGGGACCACGTTATCAGATAAGGCCACGCAGCTCCTCTCACCTCTCAACACGCTACTGCGTAGACGTACCCTTCTCTAATACCCTTCTCTACTCTTTGAACTTGCGAAACTCGTATGCAATAAACGGAACTTATGAAGCGCGAATCATCCCCATTTGCAAATTGAAGCTTCTTGCGACTGCATCTTGCGCGGGGAAGCTTCGAGGCCCAATTTCGGATCCCCCGGACTCCACCAGGGCCTTTGACTATTCTCTGATCTGACCGGAAAGATGGGTCAGACCACGAGACTCTCACCATGGCTGGTGTTGGCATGTGCTGTGTCCAGTGCGTGCGCGAATAAAAAGCTGTTCAACATTAACGACGACATCCTCGCTTATCCCCAAGTACGTCAAATCGCGACCCTTTATACTGCATTTACTTGTATTCTAATACTCTACTGTAACTAGTATCAAGTGACTTTTCCCGAGGAATATGTCCTTGAAGCCCAAGCCGACGCATTGCTCCAATCGCAAGCCAGCCCCGACGCAAGACAACCTAATAATGACCAGAACAACCCTCAGCTTTACATGGGCAAGGAGCGAAACGAATTTTCCGATTTTCCTCAAGAGGAGGTAGATCTGACTCCATTCGCATATGAAGAAATGATCCTTGATGATCGACGACTTCTCTGCCAGATACCGCTTGTCACAAAAGACGACCGCAATACGACAAGAGACAAAGGTGACAGCAAAGTCGAAGAGCAGAAGGAGCTAGCTCGTGCAACAGATCGTGGTCTGGAGCTTCTACGCGAGATGGAAGGCAAATGCTTGTACTATTTCTCCGGCTGGTGGTCCTACTCCTTCTGTTACCAAAAGCAGATCAAGCAGTTCCATGCACTCCCTGTCGGTCGTGGTATCCCCCATTATCCACCGATTGAAGACACGACAACCCATTCTTTCATATTGGGAAGATTCACCGGTGGCAAGGGCGAGGAAGATCAACAACCTGGCAAAACCGATGTAGCAGAGCTTCATGCCAAGGGTGGCTCACGATACTTGGTTCAGCACCTCCGTGGTGGGACCAAATGTGATCTTACTGGACGCGAACGCAAGGTAGAGGTGCAGTTTCATTGTCACCCGCAGTCGACAGATCACATCGGGTGGATCAAGGAGCTTGCAACGTGCTCTTATCTGATGGTCATCTATACCCCTCGCCTATGTGATGATATTGCTTTCTTGCCACCGCAGCAGGACGAGGTGCATAACATCGAATGCCGCGAGATTTTGATGCCTGAAGAAGTCACCGAATGGGAAGCTATTAAGGAGTGGTACATAGTTAACCAACTGGCCGACGCAGCCGCCGATACTGATGCCGCCCAGCCTGAACTTCAAATTGTCGGGGGGATCGAGGTTGGAGGTCGAAAGCTTGTCGGTATGGAGGGCAAGCAAATTGAAAAGGGACGAGTAGCTTCTGCGGGTGAGGAACGTGTGGAGGTGGTTGCGAAACGCGAGAATGGTGAAATTCGCAAAATCTCCAAGCAAGTTCTGAAGAAGTATGATCTCGACCCGGAGAAGGTGGAAGACATGAAGAAGTTACTGGATGAGCAAGCGGATGGCAAAGATTGGACGCTTGAAATCGTGGAAACCAACGGCGTGATCATGTTCCAAGGCAAACTCGCCGAGGATGAGGATTGGGACGATGATTCAGCTTCGAAGAAATCGCCTCAGGATGCGGCATCTCGAGACGAACCGCCTACAGGCCATAAATCGAAGCAAGAATCCGAGCCAACTGAGGAGCGCAAACCGGCACGGCAGTCTGAGAAGTCTGAAGGCGAAGGCAGCGAGACATTTAAAGATGAGCTATGACAGTGTATAGTAGACCAAGTACATCTGAATATTTTCGATATTTCCAATATTTCCAATATATCCCTTGAAGTCATCTTGTGTTGCCCACGCGTTGCAGATATGCCCGTTAGCTTCATGGCCCAAAGACGTCAGATGCCCCAGTTGCCGGAGAACCGTGTGGGGGCGCAGTATTGAATGTTAAAAGGGGCGATATAAATCCAGAACTGGAGTCAACTGGAGTGCCTTGGAGTAAGATGGGAAAACAACCAAAGTATCAATTGATGTTCAAGTTTACAGTGAAGCGGGAAAAATAGCAGAGCATACGTAGGCAACGTGACTCTCCGTGAACTCCTACCGATCGCCCCGGCCCACCTTCCCACCCTCCCTGATCCAACCTTGGGACTCCATCTCCCTCTTCTCTTCTCCCTCAATCCCCTTAGACTTGTGTCTTTCCCCTCGCGCACTCTACCTTATCCCCCTGTTCCGCGCACTAAGTGCCAAGGCTGACCGAGCAGCCGTCACTTCCCCGTTCGTCGACTACCCTCCGATCCCCGACAATTAGCGCTGGCACGTGTAGCAGACGCTGCCACTTGCAGCGGCAGGATCTTCTGACATAACACTCGCTGGTACCGTGAGATTACTCGTCGTATCCACTATGGGATTCCTCGGTGTCTACTCGGCTGTCTACGATTACCAGCCACAAGGGGAGGGTGAACTCGAAATTCACGAAGGAGACCTGCTGTATATCTTGGAAAGGAACTCGGAAGACGATTGGTGGAGGGCTAAGAAAAAGGCCGAGCGGGAGGATGAGGATGAACCCGAGGGTCTAGTCCCCAACAACTATGTCGAAGAGGTGAGTCTCAGAATGGTCATGGACTGCAAGAGCACCATGCTAGTACTCATCCACGGATGCACTCGCGCCTCGTGATTGGGTGCGCCATACCTGTACAAACAAGAACTGATGACTTGACTTGCATAGGCGCAACCAGTACACAGGGCCACAGCCCTTTTTGATTACACGCGACAGACAGATGAGGAAGTGTCTTTCTCTGAAGATGCCGAATTGCTGGTGTACGATATCTCGGACCCGGATTGGACATTGGTAGGAATCAACTCGGATTATGGGTTTGCGCCGTCAAATTACATAGAAATCATTGAGAATACTGCCTCTGCTGCAGCGCATGCCCCTGCTCCATCTTCTGTCCCAGCTGCGCCCGCGGCACCATCTCTCCCCCAGCGACCAACGCAAGCCTCAGAAGAAGAAGTTGAGACATCGCCCGCCAGCTCCCCGATTGATGTGTCTCACAACCCCGCTGCTGCTGCGATTGCCAATATAATCCACAAACAGCATGCTCCCACGGGTGTCCCTACTGAGTCATCTAGAGATGAGCCTCCACCACCCAGCCTTCCAGTCCGGCCATCGTACGACCAAGCAGAGGAACGCAATGGGGAGTCTCCGCCCCCGGCTCTACCGCGCCGACCACCTTCGGAGCATGCAACACCACCAATGCCTCAGTATTCGCCTGAGCCCTCTCCCGCGCCACCTCGTCCTCAGCAGGCGGCGCCTCCTTCGCTTAACCGCGATGGAACTCGCGTCAAGGCTTCGCCACCTTACAATCGGGCCGGTGAGATGACACCGCGGTCTCCGTCGGGATACCACATCTATAACATCAATGAGATGGTCGAGGTAATGGGCAAGAGAAAGAAAATGCCAACAACACTGGGCATCAACATGGTTACTGGGATCATTTTCATTTCTCCCGAGGGAGATGACCGGCAACAAGAATGGAGCGCGGAAAAGCTCACTCATTACTCGATTGAAGGCAAGCATGTCTTCATTGATCTTGTTAGGCCAAGCAAGAGCATCGATTTCCACGCAGGGGCAAAGGACACTGCTCAAGAGGTTGTCGCAGCGCTCGGCGAAATTGCTGGAGCCTACCGGGCTGAGGGATTGCGTGAGGTCCTGGAAGCCGGAGAAGGCGGTGGCCAAAAGAAGGGCCAGATTCTTTACGACTTTATGGCGCAAGGCGAAGATGAAGTGACGGTGGCCGTGGGCGATGAGGTCGTCATCATAGACGACAGCAAGTCTGAAGAGTGGTGGATGGTGCGGCGATTGAAGAATAATAAGGAGGGCGTCGTCCCTAGCAGTTATGTCGAAATCACAGGATTGGTGACCAAGCCACTCCTTCCAGACGAACCAGGTCTGACGAGCGTGGAAAAGAATAGAAGAGAAGAAGCCCGACTGACCAAACTTGCAATGGGCAAGTCACGGACGGACTCGCTGGATTCTTCGGACCGCCAGAAGCGCGACAGCAAATCGAAATCCAAACCCGACCCAAAAAAGGTTCGCAAATGGACGGACCGATCTAAGAGCTTCACGGTGGATGCACAGTTCATAGGTCTCCAGGATGGCAAGATTCATCTGCACAAAGTGAATGGTATCAAGATTGCCGTCCCTGTCTCGAAGATGTCCGTTGAAGATTTGGAGTTTGTGGAGAAAGCCGCCAACGTTTCTCTGGAAGAGGATAAACCTCTTTCAAGCCTCAAATCTCGAGTCACTCCTGAGGCTAGCAAGTCTGGAGCTTCTGTACAACAT